TCCTTAGGTACTCGACAAAATTTAAAGGAATGGGAAAAATGTTCACAGTTATAAAACAAAACTACAGTTCAGAGAAAACGTCTTTATGCATATTTTAAAATTCAGTTTTGCATTCCATTTAGGAACTGTGGGAAACATGTATTTATAATGTCTTTGGAAGGATACCTGATCTTGCAATGTGTGATCTTCTAAATTCTTTTAGGCTATAGATGTTGAGATGTATTCCATGGTGTTCGCGTTTCCTATAAATGGGACGTTATTTGGTGGAGCCTTCCACTCAGCTGTCTGACATCTTACCAATAATCAGTAGAGGAGCAAGAATTAATTTTTTGGGGGAGAAGTTTTTGCTGTAGGGCACATGCACTTGCCAGAAAGACAGAGAGAGACAGAGGGACAGAAAGCAAGAAATTGCCCCCCGGGGGGATGGCCATGCTGCAATCCCTTCTCTTCCATTCTCCTCTTGGGATCTTTGGCATGTATGCACAAGCACCCAGTGTGAGTTTAAGCCACTGAGTCTGGGACTTGAACCACAGTAGACTACATGGGAGTCCAGCAACAAAGCCATTACGCCAATTGCTGATTCCAAGAATTCTTAACTGTTAGTTTCCACAATGCAGCCATTTAACACCATCTCATACAAAATAATGTGTACTTTATCTAAATTAAATATTATGTCTGATTTACTTACTCAGCTGAAGTACTCATCTAAAATCTCCACAAAGTTATGGATAAATTCATAAATAGCCATCTCATTCCAAGTCATTAACTCTAACCACAAAGAAGAAACCTGCATACTGCTGATAAATTAGCTTAAAATCTTTATATTCAATGAAAGAACACTGTTCATTCGATCAAGAGAGACAACTTGGGACCAGCAGTTGGTATAATGGCCATGTTGCTGGATTCCCATGTAATCGACCACAGTTCAAGTCCTAGACCCGGTGGCTTAAACTCATGCCAGGTGCATGTGTGTTCTTGTGCATGCGTGCCCAAGATCCCAAACAAGAATGGAGGAGAAGGGATTGCAGCATGGCCATCCCCCCCTGGGGGTGATTTTTGCTTTCTGTCTTTCTCTCTCTCTGTCTTTCTGGTGAGCGCACGTGCCCTATAGTAAAAACCTCTTCAAAAAAAAAAAAAAAAAGAGAGAGAGAGATTGACAGCTTTTTATGACTTCTGTTTCCAGAAGTATGCTTATGAATCTCCAAATGTTCATAGTACTTAGAAAGTTGGGTTTGGCCATGTTTATTTACCATGAGGAAAAATTTTATCTTTTTTTTTTTTTTTCTGGACAGTTATTTTTCCAAATACAGTTGAAAAGTTATATGGCAAGGGATGGTTGTAACTGGAATCTGTGCAGCTCTGGGGCTGAGGCTGAGTCCTGGCGATGACTCTCCTTAGAGTCTCCTTCCCCTTTCCCCAAAGAAGCTGGTTCCCTAACCCTCCCTAGCTACATGATGCCGCCTTCCTCAGGGCAGCCATTTTGGCTTCTAATATGGCATCTGCCAGGGCTCCTCTAGAGGGGTTTTCAGGCCTGGAGTCCAGCTCCTCTCTATGGGAAAGACTGATGGGGTTGTTGGGCACCAAGTTTGCTCTTTTTTTTGTTGTTGTTTGTTTTGTTTGTTTGTTTGTTTTCTGATGAGGAGAGCCCAAGGAGAGGGATTAGGATGGGCATCTTACTGAAATAGGAGACAGGGGCCCTAAAAATATAGTTAGGGTATGGACCCAAAATGGAATCACGAAATGACTGTTTTGAGATGGAGACAGTGGTGGCTCAGTGATTGACCTAGGCAGCATGACCTAGACCTAAAACAAAGGCTTTCTCTATGCCCCACCACATTCTAGGAAGAAGGTAAGATAATGGTTTTCATGGCCCAAAGCTTCTAGACAAAGAATCTCTTGACCTTGGTACCCACGGGGACACAGGAATGATTGGGGCCCACACTCGCAGTGAGACACAGGTTCTTGTCCCATGCTTAGGAAGAATTAGAGTCGTGGATACAGAGAATAGGTATAGCAAAGTGGAGAGTTTATTAAAGGAGAGGGATGGAAAAACAGAGCTCCCAGTAAGGGAGGAGGAAGGAGGAGGAGGAGGAAGAGGGAGAAGGAGGAGGAGAGGAGGAGGAAGAAGGAGAAGGAGGAGGAGAAGAAGAAGAAGAAGAAGAAGAAGAAGAAGAAGAAGAAGAAGAAGAAGAAGAAGAAGAAGAAGAAGAAGAAAGGCTGAGTGAAGAAGGAAGACAGTGCCCAGGCTAAGGAGTTAAATATGGACAGAGCAACACAAGCATGGACAGAGCAACACAAGCATCTGTAAAATGAAAAGACCAAGGACCACATTTGAAGGCTCAGAAGTGGAATCTGTTGAACCCCAAAAGGAGCCCCCAAAGAAAAAAAAAATGAGAGACACCTAAAGTATCCAGCTTACCTGATGTCAGAACAGGAAAGAGGAAGAGAAACAGCTCAGCAAACACAAGAGGCCTGGCTCGCTGGCCAAAGATAAAGAAAATGGCTCAGAGGACACTAAAAAAGAAGCTGCAGAGACCTCCAAAGAAAACAGATTTAGAAGTCTCTAGGGGAGAGGAGAAGGATACTGGTGATATCAGAGATGGTTCTCTCTTAAAAATAAAGACGAAGCACTAGAAAAAGCATAAAGACAGACACAGAATGGGGGTGGGGGAAGGTTGGCAGCCAGCAGGTGGCGTAGTGGTTAAAGCGCTGGACACTCCCACATGGCCAACATCTGTTCGAGGCCTGGACCTCGTAGCTTGCTTTCTCACTTTCTTTCTCTCTCTGGTCAAATTAAAATAAATGAATGAATAAATTTAAAAAATTAATTCTTACAAAATAAAGAAGAATGGAGGAGGAGGACATACCATTAGCATGTGATCCCAGTGTGAGTGAATGGATCTGAAAAGAGTATTTAGCACTGCAAAAAGCCAGCATGGCTTCTTGGGGAAAAAACAAACAAACAAACAAACAAACAAAAACAAATAAAATTGGAGTCCGAAATGGAAACAGAGAGTGGAGTACCTAATATGTCTGGGATGAAAAATGAAAGAGCTGGTGCTGGAGAGTGTTGCCCTGGGAGAAAGCCCATTGCAACCAGGCCGCAGTTTGTGAGTCCGGTGATCCTGAAGACCCTCAGCATGGAGCCCCTGCCTGGCAGGAAGCAAGTCCAGGACGCCCTGGCTGCCATCTCGGGGGTCGTCTACATTGTCCTGCTAGACAGAGACATGGAGTGCCTTGTCAGATTCAACCAAGGATGCACGCTCAGTAGTGAACGCATATGCGGAAGCGAAAAAGAAATGTGGCTGGACACTCGAGGTCCTTTCTGGTAATCAGGAACAGACATATTGGCAGAAGATTCCGGTTGATAGACCAACTCAATCAGCCTCAGGAAAAGAAAAGAGGCACCTAGAAATTAACCCACCAAAGCTGAAAAGATCAGGCTGGAAAATATGCACCAACAAGTAAACAAATCAGATTTTCTGAATATGACTGAGGAGAATTGCAGTTCACCTCTTAATATTTCACAGAATACTTGAACTGTTCTTAGGAAGTCCATTTTTATTTGGGGAGTCCTGCATAACAAATGTTTTTTTAAAACCTACATTTAAATTAAAAAGTACCTTTGTTCAAAAAAAAAAGAAAAGAAAAAAAAACTTACACTGGCCACCTGCGTGTGCATCCCCCAAAATCCTAGAATGAAAAAGGGATTGTGGCATGGCCATCTCCCCTAGACAGGGGTTGATTTCTCACTTTCCCTCTCACCGTCTCTCTCTGGTGAACACACGTGCCCTATGGAAAAGCTAAAAAAAAAAAAAAGGGCGGGGGGTGAAAGTTTAATCCAACTACAGTATTTAAGAGATGGAATCTTTGGGAGGTGATCAGGATTAGATAAGGTCACCACAGTGGGAACCCCATGATTAAATATTGACAGTTCTATAAAAAGAGGAGGAGAGGCCAGAGCGGACACACACACTCTTTTCCTCTCCCCATGTAATGCCTTGCATTGCCTTGGGACCAGCAAGAAGGCCCTCAGCAGATATGCTCCTGGACCTCTGGAACCATAAAACGAATATGCTTTTATTCTCTGTAAATTACTCGATCTGTGGTGTTTAGAAAAATAAACTAAAACATTACCTCTAATACTTATTATTTATTTGTGATGAAAACATTTAAACTTCTGTCCTGGCCATTTTGAAATATACATTATTATTAATTATAGTCATCTTGCTGTATACAGAATTATTGTCAATTAAAATTTCTTTCTATTTTAATTGCCAGGGCATGTAGAGAGAGAGAGAGAAAGAAAGAAAGAAGGAAGCATCTCCCCGTGTGGTGTGGTGGTCCTGCAATCTCTTCTCTATTTCTCCATCCTGTAGGGATTTGGGGCCTGCTGTGGTTTTCAAGCTCTTTTCTAACCCCAGCCACGCCAATTCCCCCTCAGGATTTCCCCTGGGTTTGCTAGACGGCAGTGCAGTAGAATGGAGATTACATTTAACTGTTATCAAAAGCTCCATCAAAAGAAAGATGACTCACTCTTGTGGTGGTGGTGGTGGTGGAGGTGGTGATGCAGAAGCCCTTTTAGTGAACCTAGGTACAAACCTTCCTATCACCCCAGCACATCGGTTCACAGAGCCGCTTGATGCCAGGCACCCGATTACTAGACCCTGCCCGGGAAGCCTCGCGCTGGGACAAGGCGGCAAAACAGCCGCGCAGCCGCAGGGACAGCACGAGCTGAGAGGGGGCAGAAAGTGGTGAAAGGGGGAGGGAAGGTAGTTCAGGGTTCTGCAGCCACAGTGTCAGATTCTCAGGGCGGGGGTGAGATAAGGACGCCCTTGGATGTGGACCCGGAGTCATTTGCCCTTCTTTGGGCGCAGCAGCATCCGGAATTCTGCCAGTGATTGAGCAACACCTGCTGGTTTACCGGGGTGGGCGTGGCCGCGGACTCGGAGGGGTTCGTAGCAGATCCCAGGAGAGCCCCAGAAGGAAAACGGCTAGCTTTACGTTTCCTTGCTGATGAAATAGGCGAACGATTTTCGTCATCGACTGTGAAAGTTGAAATCCGCAGGCCAGGCAGGACAAGGAGCGCTCCTAACGACATGGCACCGCGGGGACAGAGGGCGCTGGCCGCCCCAGGATGCGAGACCCTCCTGCTGGCCGTGGTGGGTGCCATGCTGCTGGTGAGTCGCCCATACGGGCCCTGGCTCGGGAAAGCGCGCGGAGTGGCTCGGACACGTGGGTGCCCAATCTGCGTAGCCTGCCGCCGGGCATGTCCGGCTGGGCATGTTCATCCGAGGAAGAAGCCGTCGGTGGAGTTGGGGAGCAGGGCGGTCCCCAGGTGGAGAGGGGAAACAGCCCTTCCGGAGGCTCTAACAAGAGGGGAAAGAGGGGACAGAACCAGGGCGACGACCTCACCCCGCGGGCGGCTGTTGTCCCGCGCTCCCCCCCCCCCTTTCTGGCCACCTGTGGGGGGAAGTGACACGATCTGGTCATTACAGAATCCGTGGGGTGAGCTGACGAGTGTAAACGGAACATCCTTTGGGTCGGGGTAGAGGAGCGGTGAAGGACTTCCTTAACTCTTTGCCTTCTTCACCCTCCTCACCCTCCTCCTCCCCCTCTTCCCCCTTGAGACCTGTCAGTTAAACTTTTTCTCTGCTGCCTTCTCTCCTTTGGGTTCCTCTCCCGTGTGTTCCGGGCAGCACCCGTGGGACCGATTTATTCCGGTCACCCTTTCGGTCAATCAAAAAGTAGTCATTCAGCCATCCGGGAATTCGTCCTTCCTTCAGGGGAAGGGGTGAAAAACTCCTGTTTTAATTTTCTTTCTGAAATGGGAAATCTGTCGATATGCAGAAGCAACTTAGTATGAAAAAAAATGTGTATTTGGGGTGGGGGTGGGGGTGGGGGGATCGAGGTCGGTCCTTTGTACCGAAATAATCATAAATGCTCAAGTCCTCTGGGTAAAATGGTGTAGTATTTCCAGTTAACCCATACAAGTCCTCTGGTACCCTTCAAATCATCTCTAGATTACTTATGATGCCCAATACAACGAAATAGAAATGCTATCTATGTAAGTAGTTGTATCTTAAAATTTGATATTTTTGTTAGTGTGTGTGTATGTGTGTAGGTGGTGGTGGTTAATTTCCAGAGGGCATGTGTGCTGGGGGTGGGGGGACACTCTTAAGTAAGTTGAGGTGTCGGAATTCCTTCTTCATTTTCCATCCAGTAGGGATTTGGCGGTGCCCAGGGTATTTTTCAGATAGTTGGGCCCAAGTCTAAGGGCACTCTATCTTAACCACGAAGTTATGGACCGAGCTTGTATTTCTTCCTTATTTATTTATTTATTTGTAAATATTTTCCATCTGCATATATGGAGGAGTGAGTGAACTTCCGTTCTTTCCGGTTCCTTACACGTTTTAAGAAATACCCACAAACAAAAAACGAAATACTGAAAAGACAAATCAACCTTATAACATCATGAAATTGTAAATATTTCTGTTCAACAAATTAATATTAAATCTAGGGGAACAGTAACATTTCACAATCTCAAAATAATTACAGAATTTCTTTTTTAAGCATCAGTTTTCACTAAGTGGGATCCACGTTTAATGCCGCATTCACATGGTTTCTCTTTGCCGGGCCCTGTGTCTCCAGGTGACTTGTACGCTTAACTCCTATTGGCGAGCTTAGAAATCTCACTTTGGGGAGTGCGAGGCCTGGGTTGGCGGCATCCCACACAGCCCTCTAATCTTACCTCCATCTTGTTTTTTTGTATCTGAGAATGGAAGAGAATGACTCTTCCAAGTCAGGGACAGGAAGAGGGAGGTGAGCCTCACGGAATCAGCCTGTGTCCTGCCTGAAACTAGAAGGCACACACTCCTTATTCAGTGATTTGTAACAACTTCAGGAGATGGGGATTGTGGCTCCATCTTACACGTGGAGAAAATGACGTACAGAAGGAATCAGTCTGTGGCGTTTTGGGTCTACCCCTCTAAGACAGCTGCATTTTGGCGTGGGGTTAGCATCTCTTGCCATTCCTATTCCGGTATTTGTGATAAATGGAGGAAGGGAGAAAGGATCTGCTTTGCGCAGAACAACACGCTATACTCTGCAGTTCAGACCACCACCGCCACCCACCCTGAGGAGGGGAGGTAGTTACATTTTACAGATGAGAACATTGCGGCTTTGAGGGGGAACCTGTGGGGGCTAAGAGTACGTTCAAGTCTGTCCAGAGGGGCTGGGCTGTAAGAAGGGGAAAATAGGACCGCTTTTTTTTTTTTAATTAATTTTTTTTTTTTTAAGAAAAACAGTTTTAGGTTTTTTTCCTGAAACCTTTTTTTTTAATGAATTAATTTACATTTATTTCCTATATATACACATAGTTTCATATTCATATATATATACATAGTTTCATATTCATATATATATATATATATCCCCTATTTCTGACCCTCTGCCCTTTCCCACCCTCTTCTCACACTATCTCTGGTGTCTACAGTTGTCTTCTATTCCTTTTCTCCCCATATTTTATTGATCACACAATTTCTTAAATAATCTAACTACTTTCAATAGCAAGTTCAGCTGGTGATTTCAAGAAAAACAGTTTTAGCTTTAATAAATCAAAGACATGCTAAGGAACTTTGCTTAAAACTTAAAGCCAGGAAACAGGTTAGGATTCTGTTCAAATAGTAGGTTCATGAACCTATCAGCAGCTCAAGACAGGACACAGATCCTTAAAACCAGATAAACACAGCCTAGAAGAAAATCAGCAATGTTTTAGTCAAAAGTCATAAAATGCTATTTCACCAGTTCAGTCTCATGTACTTAATCTATCTTCTGTTGTGGTCCGCTTTTAAAAGTAAGATAAAGTCAGTTTCAAAGATTTTTGAGGAAATGTTTGAGGGCTTACTCAGAACTGCCAGGAGAAGGGAGGGCAGGAAATCACCCTAGTGAAGGCCGAGGGGAGTGGCGCTGGCTGCTGAATAGGGCTTTGCTGGGGCTTCTGTACTTGACTCAGCCCCACCTGACTGCTCAGTGGGGCATCTGTATTTGTTTTTTGGTTGTTTTTAAGATTTTTCCCTTAACAGTGGTTTCAGCAATTTGGTTATGATTTTTTTTAATTTAATTTCTTTCCCTTGCAATTTGTTGAACTTCTTGGATCCTTGGGTTTAGCAGTTATATACAGTTTGGAGATTGTCAGCCATTATTTTTTATTATTATTATTATTATTATTATTGAGAGGTTTTTGCTATAGGGTGCATGCACTCACCAGATAGACAGAGAGACAGAGAGACAGAAAGCGAGAAATACCCCCCCCCCAGGGGGGATGGCCACTCCGCAATCCCTTCTCCTCTATTCTCCTCTCGGGATCTTGGGCACGCACACACACGCGCCCAGCGTGAGCTTAAGCCACCAGGTCCAGGACTCAAACCGCAGTCGACTATGTGGAAGTCCAGTGAGATAGCCATTACATTAACTGCTGGTCCCAGCCATTATTATTTTTTTAATATTTTGTTTTTACTACTCTTCTTTCTGAAGGGTCAGTCACACTTAAAATTAGAATGTTTGGTATTGCTCCAGAGCTAACCCAAAATGACCACTTTTTTTCAGTTATTTTCTAGATTTTATTTTGGATAACTCCTGTTCTGTCTTCAAATTCATCGTTTTTCTGTAACATCTAATCTGATATTACTCCCTTCTGTTGTATCTTTCATTTCAGATATTCTTTTTAATCTCTAGGATGTCTTTCAGGGTCTTTTAAAATTATTTTTTATTTTTTTATTTTTTTATTTTTTGAGAGGTTTTTGCTATAGGGCATGTGTGCTTGCCAGAAAGACAGAGAGAGAGAGACGGAAAGCGAGAAATCACCCACTGGGGGGATGGCCACGCCACAATCCCTTCTCCTCCATTCTCCTCTCGGGATTTTAGGCACGCATGCACATGCACCCGGCGTGAATTTAAGCCACTGGGTCTGGGGCATGAACTGCGGTTGACTACATGGGAGTCCAGCGACATAGCCATTATGCCAACTGCTGGTCCCTAGTATCTGTTTCTTTTCTGATCATGTTTCTTTGATTCTACACTGTTAATAAGATTACAGTAGCTGTCCTTTGTTTACTCATTCCATTATCACTGTACCTTCCTAGATTGTCAGTTTCTATTGCTTATTACCCTGGTTATTGGAGATATTTTCCTGTTTTTCTTTCTTTTTTTTTTTTTTAAGAATTATTTTATTTAAATTTTCTTTCTTTCTCTCTTTCTCTTTCTTTCTTTCTCTCTTACCTTCCTTCTTTCTCTTTTTCTTTCTCTTTCTTTCTCTCTCTCTCCCTCCCTCCCTTCCTTCCTTTCTCTCTCTCTCTCTCTCTCTCTTTCTATCTCTCTTTCTTTCTATTTGACCAAAGGGACAGAGTGAGAAAGAGAGGGAAAGTGAGAAAGCAAGCCGCCAGGTCTGGGACTCAAACTTCAGTTGGCCATGTGGGACTCCAATGCCCTTAACCACCATGGCACTTGCCGACTCAATATTTTCCTGTTTTTCATGCCCAGTGATTTTTTTATTAGATGATACACTTTATATTTTTGTATACCGCTTTTGGTGTGCTTCTTAACAGTGATAGATATTGTTCTAGTCTCAATTTATACATTTGAACATTAGTCTGATCTTTCTAGACTCACTTTTCAGTTTTATGACTGGTTTACAAGCGCCTTATTTCGAGACTGCTAAACTACCAAGGGCTCAGTGGTTGACCTGTGACGACTAGCCAGCATCCTTATGAAGTCTCTGCACTGTGGGAACAGGAATATGCACAATTCCCAGCCCTAGGTGGGCCTCAGTCCTGGTCCATCCACTCATGTGTAATGGTCTCTCCCCACCAGGGTGGCTTTCTGTCAGGTGAGCGCAGCCAGTATCAGCAGACACTGGCAGTGCCCTCTGCAGGACTCCCAAATCCTCAAGCAGCTGCTTCCCCAGCACTTCCAGCCCTCCACCGCCCTTGTCCTCTTGGAGCACCTGTCATGTATTTCCTCAGCAAAGTCCACAGGGCTCTCCTGGGTCCCCTCACTGGGTGGGATCCTGGAGTCTGTCCTTGGGCAGTGAGCTGAGGCCACCATTAAGGTTCACCTCATGGGTCCTGGGGTAAGGGTGCAAGTACTCACGCATCAAGTAAATGTTGAGCTCTTTACTCTA